AGAACAAAGGCATGAAAGAAGCAACCAAACCTATATCGGGAGTTTGGGACTGGGTGGTTAGATCTGGACCAGTAAAATGGATGTCCTGGCATCAATTTGGATTTTATCCGGTTTGATGCTGCTTTCATGGACATGACAGTTCAGGGGCCTTGGACCGATCAGAAGGGGCATGGCATCATTTTGGACGTTCCCTATTTGAAACAGGATGGTTTTTGTCTGGCCTTAATAACCTTGCTCCATATTACACAATTGATAATCGGGTATCCATTTTTTTACATAAATTTGATATACATTCGTTATAGCTTCGCCTGGGATATAGGGTGCCTTGTGTTGTTCTTTAATTGTCATCATTTCACTGAGGTCAGAGTTGTATGCCTCACGATGTACATCACCTTAGGTTAAAGCTATCTATTGCTGGATTGCTCCAGCATCCACCACTTGTTGCCCGACACATTGGTCTAGCACCCTTGAGAACCTTTGCCTGAGTTGCCTCTGGTCTACCCTATAACCGAAACATTATGCACCTTAAGTTGATGCTCATCACCTTAGGTTAAAGCTATCTATTGCTGGATTTCTCCAGCATCCACCACTTGTTGCCCGACACATTGGTCTAGCACCTTTGAGAACCTTTGCCTGAGTTGCCTCTAGTCTACCCTATAACCGAAATATTATGCACCTTAAGCTGATGCTCATCTCAAAAGTCTTGGTAAATATATTTGGAGGATGCATGGTATCACATTTTCTTGGTGTTTTCTTGGTGGGAGCCTATAATGGATGCTATCATATAATTTAAATTACCTTTAGATTATTACTACCTTGCGTGCATTATATTCTTATAATTTACTGTTATAATTAATTACTGAGAATCACTTGCCCTTGGACTCTCATTTTTTGTATCTATCCCTCTATTTGACGTATAGTGTTTGATACTACTTATGGTTCTATGTTGTATATTTGAACTTTGTAGTTTGTACAGCCTCTGATTATGGTGTATGGTTATTATTTTAAATATTTTAAACTATGAACAATGTAAATTTCTGCTGTCTTATGGCAAATTTTCTCTTTATTATCTATGTATAGCTTTGTACCATCAGAATGTTCTGGGAACTTATAATACTATTGGGCAAAGCGACTCCATGTATTCAACAAATTCTTTGGTCAAGCGCCCTAGGATTGAAAGTGCAAGCAATCTGCCTGTTTATCCACAACGACCAGGAGAGAAAGATTGTACTTACTATATGCTGACTAGGACCTGTAAGTTTGGAGATAGCTGCAAGTTTGACCATCCTTTTTGGGTTCCTGAGGGTGGAATCCCTGATTGGAAAGAGGTGAATTTTTTTATCATTTTGTAATATGGTTTCACTATAGAGTACTTCATTAACTTATCTAACTCGTGTGCTTTGTTTATTATATTTTTATAATTCTGTTTTAGTTATTTATTAGGATGATTACTTTTTTAGAAGTTTATGCAAATTGAATTTCGGATGTATTGCCTATATACTATCATATGTATCCTTGGGAATGTGAATTACAAGGTTAGTCAGTATGATATTATAATAATTTCCAGTCGTTACTGTATTTGCATGTATTTTCAATAAAATTATTTAATATTTTATATTTGGAAAATTGTTTCATGCGGGGACCGCACTTCTACAATATGCGGTCCAGGGGTATAAAGATTCCATCTTAAAGATGGATGCAAATAGGTGGTCCATCTAAAAACAATTGTAACTAACGATCCAAATGTTTTCTTAATATAATTATTATTGCTAATTTTCAATTTTTTTTTCATATTCATGATCTCCATGTTAAAGATTATATATTCTCTAAAATTTAGGATCAAATTATATTTAAAAATATATTTATTGCCAAACCTGCATTTCTACAATATGCAGGCTGGCTACATAGAAACCATGTCCTTTATATTTTCCTGAATGTTGTTACTGGTTTGGCGGACAGCTGATTGTTATAACTTTTGATGGATAGGAGAGCCATTGTGCTAGTGTGCAATTGTTTATCTACTTCAAAATATGCTATCCTAAGCTTCACATATTTACTTTTTTTAGGTCTGCCAAAGCGTATGTTAATGTTCTAGCATGTATATATGTTAATGTCATACTGCTTCTATATGTGATTATCCATGTTTTGGAACTTAACTATAAACTAAGTATATGCATCTTATTGAATTGTGATTACTTCAGATCCTTTTATGGTCTTTTCTTGAGTGTAAGGAGTTGGAAAGGCATCAGTTAACATTCTCAAAAAAAAAAAACAGGAGGGTTGGAAAGACATGTTCCATTTACACTAGTATATCTGGTGGATTGGTCTTTTAATCCAAAGTGCTTAAGATGCAAGAATGAACCGATTCCTATCTAGCAACTTTTATTCTTCTTAATTTTGAATTTGGTTTCATTAGTAACATGCCTGGTGGCCCAAACTTACTCCAAATTGGGTATGCTGAAATTTTCTGAAGATTTGCGGTAAGAAGGCTTTATGAAGTGGCTATGTAGGGACATTTCTTCATTTTAATTTTAGTTTAGTTTCATAGGTATCTCTTTTGAACTTGCCCCATATTCAAAAGGCTTTATGCTTGAAGTCGCCCAAAGAATATGTGGTATGAAGGCTATATCGTGTAGCTGTTGTACACCAGGGAAGCTGCTGGATATAATTGTCAACACTGATTTGACGTGATTGAGGCTTATTTGCTTTGCATGAACAAATTAGGCGTGCATTTGAATTTTATGTTTATATAGTAGGATTTTTGTAATTTTTTGTTAGATATTTACATTATTTAATGTAGTTCTTTTTTAAATACTTGCGAGTTGTGACAATGTTTCATGATTCCTATAGAGTTCAGTTGTTACTAACTGTGAAGCTTTGCTTTCATGATTATGAGTGTTTTCTAGTATTGCAACAAGCTTGAAGCTTTTGATGGATTTATTTATAATGGATTCAAGGATAACATGGTGACTGTAAACAAAATGAATGAGAATGAAACAAGAAATTTAGGCAGTTGGATATAGTTTAATTATGTCTGTTAACATCTATAAACACTTAGTGTTAATTCACCCCACATATGGAGTCTCAGCCAATGGAATTCTCTATGATATCTCATTTCTTGGTATGCCACAATTGCATGGAGTCTTTGTGTAAGAGAATTAATTCACCCCCACATATGGAGTCTAAGGCAACGAAATTCTCAAAGATATGTCATGTCTTGCTATCCCACAATTGCATGGAGTCTTTGTGTAGGAGAATCATTACCTCCTGAAATTTAAGCCTGCCTTCCTTAATGGTATCGATATTTACTTGTGTTAGCCACAAGCTGTTTTAAAGGCATGGGAGCAGTTAGATGAGAAAAATTACTTCCATGAAACATGTACGGATATATTTTTGTTTTCACTAGGAAAAGGTACACCATGGATTTGCTTTAGGAGATTGAGAAGATGACTGTCAAGTAAATGATGTCACTTTATAAATATCAAATACCACCCTGGTTTGTTTATGGGCATACCTTTTGAGGGCATGAGCAGCTTATAATGAGCTTGTTCATGAGCTTATATTTATGAGTAGTTAGTGTCACTTGGTTGGATGTCACCCATGAGTGTTGTCGGTCTATTCTTCCATGATCTATGCAGGTTCACTTGGCTGGGACACATATAATGAGGTACATGAATATCCATAAAAGGCATTTTTATGACCATAATGATAACCACACAATTGAAGGTCTTTTTGGTTTCGGATTTCGGCTGATTGCTCAAACGGTAGGAGGCCTACTATTGTGATACTGATTACTAACTATGTGAGAGAGGCTGTTAAAGAAGGATGAAACAAAGTATTTAACAGTAAGATCCCACTCTGAGGCCGAGTTCAGGGCCATGGCTTCTACTGCATATGAGTTGGTATGCATAACGGTCTTCCAGTTGGAAAGGAGTTCATAGAAACGAAACTATTCATTTTCCTATGGTCTGCTAAATTTAAGCATGTGTGATTTTGGTGCCAGGTCAAAAGGGCATGGTTTTTTATATTGGTAGGTATGACTTTAATTTTTTTTGCGGAAAAGGTTGACTCTATGACTTTAAATTTTTAATGCACCATGATATTCCAGACTCAGAAAGCTGTACAATAGTTGATGATGATGACTTTTTCAATTGATGGATTTTCAACTGTTGGCTATTTTTTAACATGGGGGCCCATTTATTTGAACCTAATGCTGTTTTGTCTTGCACAATGATCTGTTGATTTTTATTTTATCTTCCCTTTTGCAGGTCCCACTTATTCCTGTTAGTGACATGCTTCCAGAGAGGCCTGGGGAGCCCGACTGTCCTGTACTTAGAATTCTTTCTTTCTTATAATATTTTTCTTTATTAAAACATAAGATTATTCTGCTTAGGTTGTCTTTAAACTATCTAATTTTCTTTTGTGTATACTGGTTCTATATTTTTCTTCCACTTATACAGTACTTCATGAAGACACAGAAGTGCAAGTTTGGTCAAAGATGCAAGTTTAACCATCCAAAGGATAAAGTTGAAGCCTCAAATGTGTCCCCAAGTGTTGGGAATACTGATGTAAGTTGCCTAGACCTCTATTCAGAGTAGAGCATTGTGCAATCTGTGATGCATTTATAATACTATGAATGCAGTTGTTAAATTAGTCTTTTTTAGTTTACATGTATCTTATGTATATGAGAGTTTACATGTGCTTTTATAGCGTAAGACACCCATTTTGAAGTATCTATATATCATAGTGTATGACATTCTGTTCTGCTGTTATTTGACGTTACAATAGGGTGCCATCATAACTGCTCTTCCAGAAAGACCGTCAGAGCCTGAGTGTACGGTGAGATTCCCTTTCTTTATGGGGCATGTAACAGGTCCAGCTTTGTTTCAATTCCTGGCTGTCATAAATGTAACTTTACCCACTGTTGTTTTATCTACACCAGTTTTACATGAAAACTGGGATATGCAAGTTTGGTGCAAGTTGCAAATTTCACCATCCAAAAGATCGGCCTGTGCCTTTGACTGGAACTGATTCTGTAACTGGAGAACAGACTGGATCTGTTAAAGTTGATGGAGCAGTTGTTGGAGCTGATCAACAAGTGAAGCCATTCACTCCTTTTACCCCAGCATTGTTGCATAATTCCAAGGGTCTGCCAATTAGACCGGTAATAGAATTGCATCTATTTTTTTTGTGTTGATTAATTGTACATTTTGTTGAACTTAGATGCCTTGCTTTGTTTGAAGGTTGCTCTCAGTTTATTTTAGCTGAATAATGTAGTTGACTTCCAGGAGTATTTGCTGTGAAATAATCTTCGATGGCATAATTTGTCTATTCTTTCTATGGTTTGTTTTCCAACCTTATGTTATGATACAGCTGTGAACTAATAGTAAGAGAAAAATATCTCTATGTTATGATATACCTGTAGACTAATATTTATGAAAAAAGAAAGGGAATGTGCAAGGATAGGAAGTTGATTTTTTTGGTCAATAGTGAAGAATGCAAGAATGTTTTTTATTGTATTAGGCAATATTTATATATGCAGTGATGGATTCTGTAGTTGGATTGGTGAGTTCTTGCCTATAGATTATTCTTAATGCATGCACTTGTACCGCATTGGCCATTTGAATGGTATAGGGCGGGAAACATTAAGCGAGCCTAGACCAATATTTTGTTCAATGCAGATGACATAGATAGAAAGCATGTTTGCTACGGTTCTTATTGTGGAGAGTGTATTTTTTTCAGGGTGAAGTCGACTGTCCGTTCTACCTGAAGACTGGCAGGTGTGCTAAAAATTTCTTTTTCTAGTAAAGCTATGGCTACATATAATTGCTAGCATCCATCTTTTGTGTATGCTCTATTTTTCAATCTATTTGTTCATTGAAAAACATTTTTTCTGTTTGTGCAGCTGCAAATATGGTGCCACTTGCCGCTTTAATCATCCAGACTGGAGAAGTATGTCATCTTTTGTATTAAAAATTAGTGTAGCTTTGCGGCTTTCATTATGTACTCTTGGATGAAAGCATTGACTAAACATCTGATATTTCCTTGGAAATTATGCATATCCCAACCCTCTAGCTACTACTACACCAGCTGCAGTTATAAATCCTCTGGCTGCTACTCTTCCCCTTGGAGTTGTTAACACTCCACCTCCTGCTCTGTCTCATGATCCTTGGATGGCTCAGACAACGGTAAATGGAAATTCCTTTCAGGCAAACACAATGAAGGATAATCTTCTTTTTCTAATCATAATTTCAGGGATATCCCTTTATCTATTTGATCATGTTATTGTTGTCGTCATTCATTCCTCACCATGAATAAATATATGTTGAAATACTTTTCCTGGTGTGATGCTATTGCAGTTGGGGTTGGGAGTGAGCGTTTATCCTCAGAGGCCTGGACAGATAGCATGTGATGTGAGTATTTTTGTGTATCTTGTTTTCGATTATCCAGTCTGCAACTTGATGCTGTTTTCTCAAAGTTGAGTGCATCCGAGGAAATAACTAGTTTCCCTTGTTTTCTTTCAAGGATTAAATGGTTTGTTTTCCTCTTGCATTTTGAAAGTAATTCTTAAGGCATTTTCTTTAAAACAATTTTACATCTTGAACCCTCGAATCATATGGCTACAAATTGAATGACAACCCATTTGGTCATAGCTTTGTCTTGAGTGTGCAAATAAGTAAATGAGGATAGACGTTTCCTCCAGATCCTAATCTTCTGAGTGGGGCAAGTTTGTTGCTCCATTCAAGTTTGCGTCCTTTTCTTTTCTTCTGAATTCTTTAGATTTTTATGCTTGTATTTTATCTTCATACCTTTCCAGTTATGAGATATGGAAGGGTGATACAGTACTTAATATTGGAGTTTGCAATTTCAGTTCTGTACTTCGGTGTATTTTCGGAAGGTCGTTCTCCATTAGTTCTTACTAGTTTTAACTGTCGCATGTATAAATTGTTGGGTAGTGCAGTACTATATGAAATTTGGAGAATGCAAATTTGGTGAGAGATGCAAGTTTCACCATCCCTTAGACAGGACAGCACCAACTGCTGCTGTTGCACAGCAGGTACCTCAACAAGTTGTAAAGCTCACATTAGCGGGGCTTCCAAGAAGAGAGGTACAGTTTTTTTCCCCTTGCTCCATAGAAAATTATATATGATTGCTTGCTGTCTTCTTTTCAGGCAATGACCGTTATTATCATTAGTTTTTTAAACACTCTGATGTTGCATTTCGTTTTGAACTATAGCATATACTTCATCTCATCTTTTTTTTCTTTTTCTTTTTTTAACTTCTAACATTTTTTAGTCTGGTCTTGTTTCCTGCTTTTCCTTTTATTCTTTTAGACCTCAAATATTCTCATATATATCAATAAGCTCTCTCCATTGAAGATTATTGGGAATCTTATGAAAAAAAAGAACAGAAAAAACAACAATGGGTTCCGTTTTGAATTCTTAGGATGATGAAATAACTTGTAGGGTGAAGCTGTGTGCCCATTTTACATGAAAACGGCAACATGCAAATATGGTGCTGTGTGCAAGTTTGACCATCCACCTCCAGGCGAAGTTGCTGCGAAGGCAGTTGGAGGAGCTGCTACGGATTCAAAAATTGCCGAAGGAGAACAGGTCAAGGATGAATGAGGATGGATCGCTCTCTCTTTTTGGTTTTGGTAGTAGTCTGTCATTTTCTTCCTTTTAGCTGCATTTTGAACTCGGAAAAGTTTAACAAATGAATCTTTCTAGTCTAGCCTTCTATGTGAAATATTTTGTACCATTTGGTAAACTATTTGAGATGGTTTCTCTCTCTATATCGTCTTTCTCTCTAGATATTAAAATAGTCTCTCTCCATCCCACATAAGCTTCATATGAACTCCGCCTAGCACCAGTCCATTAGATTTTAATACAATGTGTGGTAAAACATGAGAGGACGCATAGAGGTAAGCTTCATATGAACCCCACCTAGCACTAAGTCACGTTGGAGCGTATCGTAAAGGGTGGAGAGCGCGTTATTATTCTGTTGGAGCATACCGTAAAGGGTGAGGAGCGTGTTGGAGCATACCGTAAAGGGTGAAGAGCACGTTGGAGCATACGGCAAAGGATGAAGAGCGCGTCATAATTCTGCTGGATCATACAACGTTTACTCTCAGGCAAAACACTAGGTAATACTTTATGGACATTTTTTTTTTTGTGTAATTTCAGGAACCATCTAGATGATTATTATCAAAGAAAAAGCTTGGAGTTTTGAACTTTGAAGATCTTGATCGTTCCCTCCCATCCAACAAGTGGATGGTACCAATGCCATCTTGGGTTGCCATTCTTTTTAGGTACATAGGGAAATAGTTAATTTTTTTTTTTTGCCTTGGACCCTTGGTTTCTGGGTTCTTAGAGATAACATCCCCAAAATTTGTGATGTATGAAAGATATTATTATTAGAAATTTGGCCCGAAGGAGTAGATAGTATATAAAAAAACCATCCAAAAACACATTCTCTGTAATCTCTTTCTTTCAAAAATCCCATTCTCTCCTTGGAAAACCTATTCTTTATAAAAACCATCTCTCTAAAAACTCACTCTTTTTTTAAAAAAACTCATTTTCTAAAAATCTAATCTCTTTCAAAACTCAATCTCTCTCTAAAAACCTATTATCTATATCTAAAAACCCAATCTCTTTTTAAAAACCTATTCTCTCACTTTAGAAATCCAATCACTCTCTTTCTCAGAGCCATTATCTCTTTTTCTCTCGAAAAATTCAATCCATTATCTCTCTAAAAACCTATCTCTCTAAAATTCGATCTCTTTTTAAAAACTCCCCTTTCTAGAAACCCAATCTCTCTTTAAAAACTCTTTCTCAATCTAAAAACCCAATATCTTTAAAAATCCATTTTCTTTATCCCTCTTTCTTTCTCTAAAACTCATTTTCTCAAAAACTCTCTAAAACCCGTTTTCTCTCTCTCTAAAACTCTATTACCTCTTTCTTTATCTAAAAACCCATTATCTAACCCAATCTTTCTATCTAAAATTCTATTTTCCATCTCTTTAGAAAATCAATCTCTCTCTAAAAGCTCATTCTCTCTTAAAAAACTCAATCTCTCTTTATCTCCATAAACCTATTTTATTTAGAAACTCAATCTTTCTTTAAAAATCGATTCACTCTCTTTTTAGAAACCCAAGCTCTTTTTTTCTCTAAAAATCAATCTCTCTCTAAAAGTCCACTCTTTAGAAATCCATTCACTTTCTCTCTAAAAGCCCATTCTCTCCAGAAACCCTCTCTTTTAAAACTCAATATTTCTCTCTCTAGAAGCCCAATATTTTTTAAAATTTTCTAAAAAGTATTATAGCATATGTTTTTTTATTGTTTTTGACTTACTACAAACTAGAAAAGTTTGAAGAGTGAATTTTTTTTAAAAGAAAATAAAAATTAAAAAAATAAAAATAAAATAAAGGGCTTCTTAATAGGCTTTGGTCGAGCCCATGCTCAGTAGATTCTTTTCTACCCGGGCTGGACCAAACATTTTTGGTACAATTTTCTGGCCAGGCCAAAATAATTCGGGCTTTGCTGGGTGTCGGGCGGGGCCAGCCGGTGGCAGCCTTACTTACACCTCCACCCCGGATTATTTTTTTTTAAAATGGAATCGTACCTATGGGATTATGATTTCAATTTATTAGATTTTGGACACTTTTTATGAAAAATAATTTCAAAGGTAAAAAGATTTCTAATTCTTGCCACAAACCAAATGTAAGAAATTAGTTATTTTTTTAAAAAATAATTTCTAAAAGTCGTTTTCATGCAAACCAAACGTGCCCTTAATAAATTCTTAGCCAATTTAATCTCCTGAGGAGTATTCTCAATTGGGCCTCATTTACAGATGAAATACTTTAAGTATTCTCAATTGGGCCTCATTTACAGATGAAAAACCTTTTTAAGTGTTATACAACTACGATCTCTAATAACCCTTCCATTCCCGGCTTGACCTATTCTCTTTTCTCTGTCTTTACCCCATTGAGACGGTGTTTCCGTGTTTGGTAATCTTTGAAGTTTGTCCAAATTTCCTTTTAAATTGGAGAAATTATTTAATGGAAAATTGTTTCATCTGGACTAGACCGCATGACTACGTATACGGACCAAAAAGGGTAAAAAGCATCCATCTTAAAGGTGGATACAAGTAGGTGTCCAAATGTTTTTTTATTGGAATTACTATTTTTAGTTTTTAAAATTTATTTATTTATTTCATATTTATGATCTCCATGTTAGAGATTACATATCTTTAAAAATTAAGCCAAAAAATCCATCTCAAAAATAGAATTATTAATATACTGGCATTTCTACATATACTTTTTGACGGTTTTGCCTAGACTCGTAATCCTAGGGATTCAGTAATTTTCAGAGTTTCCTCAAACTTTGTTCTGAAACCGAAGTGATGTAAAGATGTAACTAATTAATGATGGACTTGGTTTCCATGCGGGTAACTAATTATTGATGGACCCAGTTTTAAGTCGTAATTAATGATGTAAGTAATTAATGATGTACCCTCTTCCAAAATCCTTTTAAAATTTTGGAATTTGTTGACTTCAACCATGACGATGAGATATCTTTTACTAAAAAAAAAAACACAAAAATATTTTTGTACATCCTATTTTTGGTTTTCATATCTTAATAGATCCAAAGATTCAACATATATCTACTAACCCCCTGACTAACTTTACACATTTTTAACTATTTTTTTAGCCCTAACAAATATAAAAAAGACATACTCATTCTAAACCCTTCATCTCTTTATGTGATATATTCTCTCCAAATTTCTCTCTCTAACATTCACTCTCTTTGTTTCTCTAACGGGAGAGAGAGAAAGTGAGAGATACGGGAGGAGAGATAGAGGAAAATAGGTAGAGAGATTTAGGAAAAAATCAAGTGAAGAGAGACAAATGATAGTGTTTAGAAATGATGTCTCTCTTATATTTGTATGGGGCAAAAATATAGGTTTAAAGAGGATAAAATGATCTTAGGGGGTTAAAAGATAAAAACTTAAAATTTTTATGACTCAAGATATATTTTGAAACCTTAGATCTATTGAAATATAAAACTTAAAAATGAAGGATATGGAGATATTTTTCCAAATAAAAATGGTATCTTCTGAAATTTCCTGTCCATAGTCAATTTTGGCTTTTAGTAGAGTTACAATGTTCTAACGTCCATCTCTAGGATGAGCTCTTGAATACTAGAGAGATACAAAAATGTTGGATATACGTAAAGCCCTATCCATTAATATATGAACTTGTTTCTTATTTTATGGTTATCTAAGGTTATGGTTCACGTGATGTGTATCCTTCATTATACTCCTTATGTTCCTTATTTGTGTGGTGATAATATTTTGTGGGATGAGAATCTAATAGATATAGTGTTAGTGAAATTTAATGGAGAGCTTATGAGATCAAATCTGAGATCAGAGAAAGGGGTGTCGTGAGGCCGATGATTACAGAGTTCTAATTTTTTATCCCTTCACTTTTAAAGAGAGAGGAGAATTGTACCATTTTTTTGTCTTGTTGTGTCTTCTTGTCTTTAGCTTCCCACTTTTATAGGGAGGAAAAGGGTTAACGGTTATCTTTTTCCAACAGGTCTTTGAGAAAAAGTCTTCCTTGATCTCAAGGATATTCATCCAGCCCATTCATATGAATCCTAGATATAATTATGGATAATTATAATAAACATAGTATTCTTCTAATCCCACAATTATAGGCTATATCACGTGAGACCTCATAGCCATACATGTCAACATATTCTACTTGGCTATGACGGCCGCGTATAATAATAAGTCACATGAACAATCCCACTTTTGAGTATAACTTTTAAGAAAATATCTTGTCATGAGGTTTTTTTTCTCATGCTTTCACATATATGTCTCTTATAACAAATATCCATCATGAAGATTTTCACATTAATGCGGATTTGTCACTCATGAAGAAACTAATTGACTTAAATATTTTTAAGTCTCATTAAGATAATATGCTTAGACAATAGTTCAACATTTATGTCCTTTGTTGATGGATCAGCGATCATATCTTATGAGGGCAAGTAACTAACAGTTTTTTCACCTTTCTCAACTACATCTTAAATGTAGTGATATTAGACATCTATATGTCTTCCTTTGGAGCTATTTGCTCTACTTTGAATTAATTTAATTGCAGTTTGATTATCATAGAATATTTGGATTGGTCGATCGATTATTTGCAGCTCATTTATTAAGTGTTTTATCCAGACGGCGAAAGTATAAGCAGTGCTACATGCAATGTATTCTGCTTCATATGTGTACCTTGCTACACACACATGTTTCTTATTAGACCAAGAAACAACTGCTCCTCCAAAGAGAAAAATATGCCCTAAGGTGGACTTACTATCGTTCTTATCCTCAGCAAAATCTACAGATGAATATCATATAACTTCAAGCTTATTTGCTTAAAAATACAATTTTAGATGTTTTGCTCCCTTAATGTACCTTAGAATTCTTTTTACTGCTTTCTAATGAGTTATGACTGGATTACTTTTATATCTACTAACAAGTCCTACAACATAACTCAAATCTGGTATTGTACATCTTACTGCATATACCAAGCTACCAATAGCTTGCGCATAGGGAACGTTAGGCTTTTCATATCTTTTTGCTGGATAATCATTCATAGACAACTTGTTTTCAACAGGAGTAGACAATGGTTTACAAGTTTCCATTTGAAATCTTTTGATAACAGAGTCAAGATATCGCTCTTGGCTTAAGCACAACATTTTTTATTTTGTCTTTTCATATCCTTTTACTGAA